AATTGGCTCTTCCAAACATCAGTCCAATAAATGTGAAGAACTCCTTGTGGATTCCTGACAACAGATTTCAGCACAACTAATGAGGTGAGTCATATGCGAAGAACAGTCTCTCTCTGATTCCAGCCAAAGAATACACTTCCTCTCACACGCTCAATTCATGGCAACGTGAGAAAGTTCAAACCTGACTTGGTTACTCTCCTTTTCCAAAAATGTCAAAAGGAAGGAGAGTTAAAAAATAAAAAACCCCAGAGAGTGGACTCTCAAATTCTCTTTACGTCACATTCCGGCTTCCTGGACATGCATTTTCAGCATCACCCAGAACTGGACAGCTCTGGCAGGGGTGAGGGCACTCTCTGCCCGGCGTTTGGCCGGCCAAACACAGCCGCTCTGATTACTGCGAGCCCATCTGATCTGACACTCGTGTTTCTTCTTGGGGCCTGCTGCCTGGCACAGGGCCCCAGGCAGCTAGACGGAGGCGCCACGCGTGTTCTTACTCCTTCCCATCCCTGGGGGCTGGAAAGCCCATTTTATTCTGCAGGACTTCAACAAAGACTTTAAAAACATAAAGGACTTTAAAGTGAAAGTAGACGCTATTAAATCGGAGGAGATCTGCAATGTCAGATGACACTTCCACTTGGCTTTCCTTCGGAGGGTAATAGCATTTCTCATGATTTTGAATCCTTCTATGTCTTCCAGGGGAAAGAGCACAAGGCTAACGTGAAAACCCACAGCTGGTAAAGGCTTGATCTCCCAGTGCCCACTCCAAGCCCCAACGACAACCACTATACACACGTGCCCTGCACGCTCTCTGAACAGAACGGAGGTGGCTCTGCTTGGTCCGCAGGTGTGTATTCTGCCTAAGGTCCCCCCCCCTTTTTTTTTTTTAAAAACCTCTTTGTTTTTAATTGAATAAAACTAATTTTACTTACTTTTCCACACTAAAATCCTTCAAAAATTTCACTAAGGCCTATTTCTTTTTTCTTATATTTGGATATACTTAAAACATAGCCTGACTTGCACAGACACTTCTCTGTTAATTTGTTGCTAAAATAATCAGAAAATGATTTAGGACAGTCCCGGGACAAAACATGGTTGTGTACCAAGTCTGCTGTGCTCCATAATGTTGAATTCTTTTTTGATTTTTAAATGCAATTTAGGAACACTTCCAGAGGCCTGCATACTTAAGTTTCAGCCTTCACCTGGATAAACATTTTCCTGGATTTTTTTTTTAAACCTCCATTTTTTTTTGGGGGGGGGGGGGCTGTCAGGGTGAGCCTACTCTCAGTCAGACTCTCAGATTTATGATGCAGACCTCCCCCCTTCTCTCCCCTCCCACCCAAAGGTGAGTCACTGGTGTGTTACAAACTTAGGGGCACAGAGCACTACAAACTAACAAACACTAAGTTACCAAAAGAGGATACACCCTCAGAACCCGGTACAAAAAGAGCAGAGTGAGCGGGAGCTGTCACACTCGCACTGAACGCTTCCCGGGCAGAGGGTATGACGCAACCTGGACCCCTCCTCTGCCCCAGTGCTAGTCCCCAGTTCCTCCCGGCCGAGGGCTGCACTCGCTGGCGGCCAGGCCTGGGCACCTTTCCACGCTGAGGACTCTGCCTTACAATGTTTTCAGTCTAAAGTACTAGCTTTACAGCCGCCAGAGATTTAGTCACACCTTCAAGTTGAGCTCCAAAAGGGCAGCTGATAATGTTACCATACAACCAGGATTTCTGCTGACACGCGTATCCCTTGTGTAACCTTCACCTGGACCTCCCCCCCCCCCCCCCCCTTTTAAATCACTACTCACAGGCTCTGATTTCTTTCCTGGGTAAGTAACTAAGTTAATATTCAAACAATGGAGAACTGCAGTGAAGGGCCGGTGGCATCCTCCCCCACCTCGGCGGCCCCCCCACCAACCTTTTGTGAACTTGAGAAGGAGAGGTTCTGTGTACCTTTGACTAAACAGTTGTGGGTGGTAGGCCTAGCTGCAGATTAAGCCAAGTCACTGGCAAAAACACCCAAAATGAAAAAAAAAAAAAAAAGACAAAATCCTATTTCATCCAGGAATGATTCAGCTGTTCTTTCATTTTCCTAGCAAGAGCTTAGGAACTTGATTTTTAAGGAGAAATAAAATCACCTGAAACTCCATCAAAATCTAGGCCCCCAGTGGTAGTGGGACGAGGAGGGGAAGAAATTAACAATGACCTTAAAAATTAGCTGCCAGCACAGGCTTCCTGGCTAACCAATTATCAGCAGGGCTTTAGTCACCACTCCACCCACATTTTAATCCTCATGTGGAAAAATCCCAACGTTTCAGCATAAAATAGCCTTCTGAACATTTGGACTATCACAGTTAAGTCCCTGGGGGCAAAAAGGGTAATTTTATCCCAGGAGAATCATCACACACACCTCCCCTTTAATGTTCAGATTATCAGAGTATCCAAAATACTAAATGCAGCCCAGAAAATTAGCAGCGCATCATCTTGTGTTACTCAGCTGTAATTCCATGTTGTGTCTGCTGGCCACCAGACATTTTATTAGGATCCGTAAAGCATCCTGGCTGACCCTCTACAACGGATATGTATTCCTGTCTTTACCACTACTGCACACGTATGTGGTTATGAAAGAGACACAGGTAGACGGACATAACTTAGTCACTCAACCAGCTCTCTAGTCCATTCAGTGTCACAAATACCCCAGTTTCATTCGAAGAATGACTTTAAGAGTTCCGCACGTAAGGCAATGTTAAGAAGTGAGTGTCTGTTCAGGCTGGGGAGGCCGCCGGCTGTTCAGGAATTAGGGACATCTGGTGTGTCACTAATGAACCATTTGACCTTGAGCAAGTCACTTCACCTTCCTAGGCCTCAGGTCCTGTCTCTGATATCCACACCCTCCCACATCAGTCATGTCTGGCTCAGGAAAGAAACTTTTATTTGAGGGGGCTGGAGACAGAAAGGAGCTTTGAAGAGCTTGTTGAGAGCAATGACCGAGGGTTTGATGGTAAGGTACAAACACAGGCCACTAACCCACTTTCCACCGTGGGGAGTAACAGGCTGGCACTCAGCTCTTGGCCTTCAGCTACTTGATGGGGCCAGCCCTCCACGTTTTGTGCTTTTAAGAGATACAAGTTGGGCATTCTCACGTCTCCCTCCCAGGTCTTCCGAGCTGTTCAATCACCTCCTTCAAAACCCATTTAGAGTCAGGAAGCACCCTTCCCCTTCCACCATCGTTCACTAAGAACCTTCGAAGACCTACCTGGGAGTGCAGGCCCCGGAGACAAGGGAGCGGATTCTCTCCTACCCGTATTCTCATGACCTAGTCATTCTATCCCCTGAATTGCTACCCTGGGGGTTACTTTGTATAAACTTTTCTCAACTAGACTTTGGCCCGGTTGGGATCGGGGACCCCGTCTTCTGCCAGAGCTGCGGGTGATCACAGCTCCGAGTTACAGAAAGGCAGGAACGAGACGCGCACGCTCTTCCCCTGCTCAGAGCCCCCTCCTTTCTTCGGGAACGGCTCTACCGCCTACTGCCCGCCACCTCCAGTACTTTTTCGGGTTTATTGCACTCAGAGGCCGTGGTGGGTCAGCCTGCCCCCTTTCCAGGTTCAATGCTCCAAAAACTACACACCCCTCCCCAAGGTAGTTGCTCCGGGGCTCATCCTGTGTTTACGGAAAGTCTCCCAGTCAAGCTCTCAAAAGTATACCTTAAAGGCCATCTTAGGGCGGTGAAGACACACCCTTGCTGGCACCAGCCCGCACGACCGGCTCCGCAGTAAGGGGAAGCCAGTTTTCTCCTTTGGGGGAGGACGGCAGCCTCCGCGGGGAGCCGGCTAAGCCCAGAGCCTCCGCGAGAAAGAGCCTCGGACCCCCAGGCCGCCCCTGCGTCGGAAGCCCGCGTAGGAAACCCCCGTCGGCGCCGGGGGCCGCGTCGGGAACAGCGGCCGGCGAGGGGCCGGGCAGAGCGCCCCAGGGGAAGGGGAGGAGCACGCCCGGCCTCCGGGCACGGAGGGCGGAGGCAAAGAGGAAGGCGAAAGATGGGAGGTGAGGGGCGGCGGAGGGCGGGTGGGAAGCGGTCTCGGGGATGCCGCCGGTCGGCGGCTCCATCCCCGAGCGCCCTCCTCCCGGCCCTGCGGCTCCGAGAGCGGCCTCCGAGAGCCCCCGGTCGCTGCGCGCTCGGTCCGCGGGGCCCGCAGCCCCTCTCCCGGGTCCGCGCTCCCTCCCCCCGCTCGCCGTCCCCCGTAGCTGCGCTCCCTGCATTGCCCGAGTGCGTCGTCTCTTAAGCCTCGCCGCTCAGCCAGCCCGTGCCGCGCCGCTTCCTCCTCCTCCGCCGCCGCCGCCCCCCCGCTGGCTGCCTGCGGTCTTCCTCCCTACTTCCTACCCTCCCTCCTCCTCCTCGGCCTCCGACGCTCCCCGAGCCCCGGGCCTCCTTTCACCCGACACTCACCCCTTTCCCCATGGTGGCGGTGGTCGGTGCCCGGCGCCGGGTCCTGCCGCTTGAAGATCAGAGAAAAGAAGAGAGCAGCTCCCGGCCGAGCAAGCGCGACCAGGGAAGAAGCGAGGACGGAGGTAGGGCTGCCGCGGGGCGGGAGGGAGGGAGGACGGCCGGCGGTCGGGCAGATACCGCCGCCGCCGCCGGGGCTGCTACCGCTGCTGCTGCCACGTGTCTACCTCCTCCCGCCACAGCTCCGCGCCCCAGACCCGCCGCTGCTTCGGCCCGCGCCTCCTCCTCACTTCCTAAAATATGCAACCTGCGTGCTGGCCCCGCCCACGCCGCGGTACGTCACCGTTACCGGAGCAACCCGACACCCGCCAATGGCCAGGCCCCGCCCCTTCCCCAGATCCCACCCCCAGGGCCGGAGCGCGCCGGCTGGGGCCTGTCCGGGCTCCAGGCAGAAGGGCGCCGCGCTCCGGGCGCGCGTGCCCACATCACGGGAGGCCGTGGCCGCGCCGCTGTGGGGCGCGCAGGCTGGCTGGCCAGCAGGGACTCGGCGGCCGTGGAACTCTCGCGCCCCTCCTCCTGCTGCCCTGCGTGACCGCCCTGCTTTGTATACGGCACGGAAGGTCCGCGGTGGGTGCGGGTACGTTTTCGGAACTGGGCTCCGAATCTCCGGGAACCCGGACAGAAACCTTGCGCGGAGGGGCCTTTCCAGTGCATCGGGGAGCTCAGGGACGCGCCGAAGTGGGGTTGAGGGTCGGGTGTTACTGCAGCCAGCGACTGCCGGAGGGACTCCGCCTCCCTGCGGAATCCTGGCCCCGAGCCCACCTGCGTGTGGCTTCCCTATCCTCTTGGTGGCCTCCCCAGTGCTTCGTCTGGTCTGAGATCCCCGTTATCCACTTTCTGCTCGGCCCCAAGAGTAATGGGTCTGAGCTGGCCTTGCCAGAGGTCCCAAGCGCCACCCCAAATGACAAACCAAAAGGCGTCCAGTGAATTCATTCAGGCTACTACTGGGAATGAAACCTTCTTGCCCAGTCTGGGAACTGGCCTTTTAGAAGAGCAAAACTTGCAACTTGAAGCATGCATATGGGGCTGGCTCTAGGTTCTAACGCCTGTCTGCTGTCTCTCCATGGCTCTCGCCTGGCACAGCAGCGCCCCTTCCAGGGCAGCCTTGGGTGCTCTGAGGCCTGGAGTGTGATGAGCCCCCAGGAACCCCACAGAGAGCCCTGGCTGGCTGCGCGTGTGACTTACCTCCCATTATAGCTTCTGCTTCTTAGCAGAGACTGCAGTGTGTAAAGGTCTCCAACATTTAGAAAGCAAAGTATTATTATTATTATTATTATTATTATTATTAACAATGCTTTCAGGAAGTCAGCTATACTCTGGGAAAGTACAAGATTCCCAGGAGAAAGTTACTCCACCTCTCTGGGAAATACTACAAGATACAAAGAAAATATTAACTTCCTAAGCAAGTAACAGCTGGCCTTATCGACTCTAAGTATTCATTCAACATGAACAAATAAAGAGGGGAAGCTTGAAAGAAATGAGGGAGGAGGAAAGGAAAGAAAAACTTGCAATTGTGTTAGCAGTTAGAATATTAGGGTAATTCTTATTCCTCCTTAGAAGAAACTTTCTTCCTCTTGCCCAAAAGTGCATTGTTAAGGGCTAGTGCCTTCTGCAATCCTCAAGCTTGGTTAAATCAGTCCACACAGCGAGGAGCAAAGGAATTGTAACCTGAACTCAAATTCACGACAGCTAGGGGAAAGAGCCCCCAAATCCAGAACCGGGTTCCTAACACTGCTAATTCAACAAAAGACGTTCACAGAGTATTATCAGGGCTCTATATTCAAGTGTCTAGAAAATTCTTTCTTTACAGCCCCCATAACTACTAACCTGTAGGAAGCTTTTGCTTGCTAAAAATTTCTTAGTCTGTTTAAGATTCACCATCCCATGGGCCCTGGTCTGAATGGGAAAAGTGCAGCAAGAACCACTACCAAACGTAGAAAGCAAAACTGAACAATGTAGATTTCTTCTGCCAGCTGATCTCCTTTTTCTCCATAAGTAAACTAATCATGTTTCATTCAACAATATTACCCTGATAGATCAAGGCATTGATTGCCCTTTGTCTCTAGAGCTATTTATTTGGCAGCTGAAGACCTTTGAAGGTCCTCCTTAGGACCTTCAAAGTTCCATCTGTATAAATGAAGTCATCTTCCCTGAAATCTATGTTTTTGCCTTTGCTTTCACATAGCACTTTTACATATAAAATCCCTTTGGATTCTCCTAAGTCTGGAAGGTAAAGGGCTTTGGCTACATTCTTCAGATTGGGGACTTTCTTCTCACAAGACCGCGCAGGTAGTGATTGGGGAAGCCTGCCTTGAAATTGCAAAATGGAAACCACCTTCCTACTTCTAAAGTTTGGTCTCAGAGAAGAGCGCCAAAGAAGTTGGGGTGGCGGATTAGCAATCACTTTCCGCGTTGCTGTCCCCATAAATACAGAGGCTTCCCCTGTTCCTCTCCTCTCCTACAACCAAGATGACTGCAGCTAAAGACGTTTCTTCTTGTTTCCATCCATTAGTCTACTGTGTGAATCCTCATCTGGCAGAGAACCATTATTTGATAGAGATGCCCTACAGAGGTCAACAAACCCTTGCTCTGACCCATCTGACCCCACCCCCAAAAGCAAACGTGTTCATTTTCAAGGTCTTTGATAATGCCATTTCCCACATCAGTCCTATGGGAAGAAACCTATGCAACAAGAACATTTCAGCCTGTTAGACAGGGCCTTGCTATTGCTCCTCTAAAGCTGATGCTTTTTCTAAACACTATACCTAAGGGCTGTGGTCTGGGCGCTTCTGGGCAGTCCTCAGGGGTGTTTTTAGGAGCAAGGGTTATTGCCTGGAGTTGAGGGCTAATTATAAGAGGTGAAGGGGAAAAAATATGGTAAAGAATCAGGAGTTGGCCAAGTGTTTATGGGAAAGAGTGATGGGAAAAAAAGAAAAACAAAAAACGCTGCCTGGCTGTAATAAGCAGCCCTGGACAAGTCTATGGAATTAAGATGCAGGGACGGCATGGCTGGGACTAAGGTGCACACGTCTCAAGCGCAAGAGAGCTACTTTGGAACTGGGCAACCAAAGGGGGAAAGTCCTTTCGCTGGGGAAGATTTCTTCCCCCCTTGTTCAGGGAGGTTTCCGAATGGAAACTTGGGGGTCAAATGCATCTCTCTTTTGACAATGAAGAAACCAAGACCAAGGAGTGATGGGCACTGGGTAGTCCCAGGAGGGCGGCGGAGCTTTTGCCACCTTCTTGACCTCCCGGAGCAGTGCAGGGGGCAAAGGGTACTTCTAGGACAGAGGGTAGGGTAAGTTCTGCTTCTCTATTCTATCCACCTCCTGTCAGCTCTTTGTAAGCTCCTAGCTTGGGGCACAACTAAAGGATTGGCCTCAAGACCTTCGGTAGCATTTACAGACCCCAAGCCTGCCAAGTGTGGATGGCTTCGAGGAGGGTTTGACGCAGCCACGGAGGGTTGGCCCAGTCACTGTGAATAGTCAGCAGATGTAAGAAAAATATGATGCAAGCCAGTATTTTGAGCCAAGAACGCTAGCACTTTGAATAAGTACTTGCTGAATTGAATAAACACACCATTGCAATTAAGGACTTGAAAATATGAGTTGGAGCCTACACCAAGTTAGCATTTTCCATAGGAAGCAAAACTTGGGGGTTCAAAGTTTTGGTTCCTATGGAAGCAAAAGAGAGAAGTCTTCTGGCCCAGCGCTAGCATGGAAACAATCTCCAGCACGCATCTTTATCTTCCATTCCCTAGCTGCCTCGGAAAGCCACCGAGCCTCCATTCTCACCGAATTACAGCCGGTGCTTCTCACCTAAGTTCTCCCTAGCCAGTGTGTATCTTGCCATCACAAATCTGTCTTCCTGTCCAACAGCAGACATAGGGCATTTTTAAAAATTAATTAATTTTTATCCTCACCTGGGGATATGTTTTTTAAATTGATTTGAGAGAGAGAGAGAGAAAGAGGCATCAGTGCAAGAGAAACATCAATCGGTTGCCTTCCCTACATGCCCCAACTAGGGATTGAACCCACAACCTAGGTATGTACCCTGACCGGGAGTTGAACCCACCACCTTTTACTCTATGGGATGATGCTCCAGCCAGCTGAGCCACCTGGCCAGCGCCTGACATAGGTCCTTAAAAGCACAGGTCTAGGCACACCACTGACCATCAAAAATCTGTCAGCTGAATAATTTTGACTCCTGTTAACTTTTCCTCTAGGCTCCATATTCTACGCATCTCTTAGTTCCCCTTTAATGCTCTTTAGTGCTCTTCTACAATAAATATACTTTGTTAATGATTTGAAGCCCTCGAGTTTAGAAAAGTCCCAGAGGCAACTGGTGCCTGTCCTGTGGGCTACGGTCCACCACCCAGAGTCAAGTCCTCAGTCCTCAGCATCCCTTCGCGCAGCTGACACGTACATAGTTTGCTTTTATCAACAGCAGCCTTAGTAAATAAAACAATTATAAAGGATTCTTCCTTAGTTGTTTCCCATGGGATTGACTTCGGGTCCTGAAATCAAGAGCCAGGACTGGGTCTTCTCGCTCTCTCTCCCCCATATACTTCTTCTAGTCCCTCACCCTAATCCCAAACACTATGACATGTTACAATATCCTGGCATGTGAAAACTCTGCGGTTTGTTTCCTTCAAATCAATAAACACCAGGATGCGAAGGAAACAAAAATCAAATGGCAACAAAGAAGGAATCGAGACTGAAAAATATTCTATTGCCAGAGCACCATCCGCACCAAGACAGTAGAGACGTGGCTTCGGGCTGGCTCACAACCCAGTGCAGGTGAGCCTGGCACCGAGGAGGTGGCAGGAGATAACTGTCATCTAACCCTTCTGGCTCGAGGGGAATGCAGCCATGAGCACTAAGGAAATGAGTGCTACCATTGGAGTGGATAGATTTGCTATTCTTGGCTTTTCAACCTTCCTGGGAAAACAATTGAGTAAGTTCTGGGGAAGCTGGTCCCACGGAGAACAGCACTCTCCCATAGATGGCTTTGCACTGAAACTGGGTTTTGGGGACTGCACTGATTTCCCTTCAGTAGGGTGGAAAGTCGCGTTAAGAGGAGGGCATACAAAACCATCAAAAAGTGGTTTGGTTCATTTACAAAAGTTTGGGAGTTTTTATAACAGCAGTAGAAAAGTAACCAAAAAGTAGGTCAGGCACAAAAATAGTAACCAGCTCAATTCATTTCTAGCAGCTTAGGTTTTACTCTGGAGTCTGCCATTTGGGTTGGCTGGTGATCTTTGCAAGTGGACCCTACAGGTAAGCCCCTAAGAAAGTTTCCCTCTCTTTCCCCTTTTAGCAAGAACCCTCTCTAACCCCTCCCTCTGGTACTCCACAACATTTAACCAAAGTTGGAGCTAGTTCATGCAGAAAACCCAGAGCAGCCATTTTTGGGCACACACTCCGAGCCTAGCACCATGCTTGATGCTGGCGTATAAAGATGACCAAGACACAGTTCTACTCTTAAACAGTTCACCGTCTGGCTTAAAAGAGCGACTTGCAAAGAGTAACACCGCAAGAGATGCTGCACCTATGAAGCATATCATGGGGGCGTGAAGGAAGCCGTGGCCGTCTCTGCCTGCAGACCTGGAAAGGCTTCCCTGGCTGGCTCCTGAGGGATGGATGGGAATTCGTTAAGGGGAGGAGAAAGGGGCAGAGACGGAGACAGAGAGGTGTGAGGGCAAGCAGTAGCACGAGAAAACTTTCAGGATATCAGCACCCTTAGCCTACGGGAGGACTGGCCAGTTGCCGAAAATGGAGCAGGGGCTGTGAGAGAGACGGCAGCAGCAGGTCGGCCCGGAGAGGCGAGCGGGGTCCAGATTGTGGAGGACTTGGATGCCATTCTCACGGCTTGGACTGGGTCCCGCAGGCCAGAGGGAGACACGGCGGGGTTTGAAGCAGGGAGGTGGCATGACCAGGTCTGTGCTTTGGAAAGTTTTCTCTGGCAGTGCCCGCCCCCTGGGATAAGCCTCCGCAGTCAGTCATTTGTCAAAGCTTCTCTGATTATATTAGCGAGTGCAGATTCTCCAGGCACCTCTGTCTTGCCCCCTACGTTTGAGGAGATGGCGTACTCATTTCATTTTTGGGTGTGTACGCATGTATGCATGTTTTACTTCCCATTATAATCCCAATTACTCACTACTTCCCCCCAACAGAGGCTTTCAGATGGCTGCATCGGATGAAAAACTGGGGTTTGGACATAATTGTACCACCTGTTAACATCTGACGACCTGACCCTGGAAGAGAGTTCAGTTTGCTGGGCAGGTTCAGGCATTTCCCTGGTTTTCCTAATATTTTTGACTAAACTGAATTCCAAATACACCAAAGACTGCTGGCTTCCATTTCTCTCAGAGACCAGTTCCTGATGCGGGTCCGCTGATGGCAGAAAAGCTAAGCCGCCTGCCTCCCAGTTCCCAATGCAAAGACTGAAACTATGGGGGCTAGAGGAAACAGTCAAAGGCCAAATGAATGAATAATGTGGCTTCAACTGTCCAGATGAAGTAAAAGATGTCCTTATGTAAACAAATCTCAGCTCTTTTTTTGAATAATGTGGCTTCAATTGTTCAGATAGTTTAGGTAAAAGATATCCTTGTGTAAACAAATGTCAGCTCTCTCTTTTTTCTTTTTTTGACAAGTCCCTGGTGGAGAGGGCGGTGGAGGGAGTTAGGGCAGTGGCGGAGGGGTGGTAGAGAGGGTGAGGGGGCTGGTGGAGGGGGCGAGGGGGGTGGTGGAGGGGGTGATAGACTGGCCATGAGGCCAGAGGTGTTGGACCCAAAACAGATCATCAAATAACAGGACCCCAACCAAACACCTCCTTCAAGCCACATCATTTTCCTTGCTCAAGTGAAACTTTGGAGTCTCTGTTGTCAGGAACTATGCCCCCAGGCTGCTAGGAGGGTCCATTGACATGATACACCTGAAGAACTTAAAACATTGCCTGCCACCTAGTAACTGTTCAAAAAGTATAAAGACTTGTCTTGACTTCAAACGCCTACTCAGCCTGGAAGAAACAAGGCCCAAGGAAGGATGAAGGCAGTTCTGGAAAATTTGTCGAGAGAAGAAGGGAGACCAGAGTCTACCGAATGCTGCCTCCCACCGGCCCCCCGCCCCGGTGCCTCCTTTATCCATCAGCAGCCTGTCTGGGACACAGCCCGCGGGCGCGGGACCAGTAACCAGAGTGCGGGAGGGGAGCCGGTCGGGGTCGGTGGACACTCCACCTGTCTAACCCCATCTGGTAAGCGCCAAGCCACAGCTGGGGACCAGGGAAATAAAGCCACTGAAACATGGCAGTGCCAGCCCAGCCCAGGGATGTTCACCTTCAGAATTAAAAGTCTGAATATCCATGCTTCCAAAAAAAAAAAAAAAAAATCAAAACCGAAAAGAAAGACACCATCTGCTAAAGCAATGCCTAATTAGAGAAGGAGAGTTCTTAACGGCTTCCTAAGAACAGACCCAAGAGGAGGCTGGGTTTCAGGGCCACACTCCTGTTCCTGGAATAAGCAGCCGAGTCAGCCAGACGTCCCGCTGCCGGCCGGAGGCCAGGGATCCACTTCCCTCTGATGCTTCTAATACAACCCAGCAGTGCTCAGCCTCCATGTATTCTCTTCCCCCTCTCATTTTCATAATGGGAACAAAAAGAGGGGGGTGATGTTAAAGTTTTGAACTAAGAAGCAGTGGCCATCTGGGTAATTGAATTTTGCTTGAAGCGGGTCACCTGGTTCACGTCATTGGCTCCTGGCAGGTATGGAAGTGTCAGTTAAGGTCCTGCACCAACTCCCGAACACCGGCTCGCAGTTCATGCGCAGTGCAGAAACCTTAATTTCTAAATAGCAAACGCTGTTTTATATCAGGTTAGCGCAATGCATGGGAGATTCCTTAGGCTGCAGAACAGTTAGAATCATAGTGGTAATGCTGGTCTTGTCCATTCCTAGCCACATGTTAAAAATACAAAAAGCAAAAAGCCAGGTCCCTTTGGCTTCCTGTTTGGACATCCATGTCATAAAAATGTGTGACTGAAACCACCTTGCTCTCCTACGGGATTCAGGAGGCTGAGTGTTTCCGGCTCCTCAAATAATGGAGAGAGGGGTGGGCGGCCCAGCAGGAATCTAGGGCCCTGCCTGTGGGCCAGATGCCACACCCCACCCTTCTCTGCAGCTTTCTCAGTTGTCAGCCATTCCTGTTCCCCAAAGTGAGACACCATTAAGTTGGAGCCCTTGTCCCCAACCTCAGGCCCTGCATACTAAGAGAAAAGGAGCTGAGCAGGGACCAGGAGCTTTGCATTCAACTGCCCGCCGGGGCTGCCTGAACCGAGTGCATTTTCCATTTACATGCACACACAGCACTGGTGTCAGGTGGAAGGCTTAGCAAGGTCATGATCTAGGAAGGAACGGAACTGCTGAGAGCTTGGGTGGTCTAAAGCAAGTCCCTGTACTTACCTCTGAGTCCATTTTCCGCGCATCTGAAATGTCTACCACAGAACTGAGTGCAGTTAGGAGTCTTGCTCCCCCAGCATTTGATTCTGAGTTGGGAGGGGAGCGAAGGATGGGACAGAAGTCTGGCTCATAGGCAGTCTGGGTTTTACAAAGGACACTGAGCTTATGGAATGAGAATTCTACACTGGAAGTAACCTGGCCTGACCTCCTCTTTTCCAGAGCGGCGTTGAGGCTGAGCGGTATTCATGCTTCTGCAGCATCAGGGAGCCCCTGCTTAATTCCGAAGGAAGACCCCAAGTCCTGTGTCCTTCTACTGCATCATGCCGTTGGTTTCCTTAGCTTTAGGACCACTAGGAAAGAATCAAACCTGAGAAGAGAAATGTTTTGCTTCCAAGGATTACCTAAAACATGTCATTTAAAGGACCAGGGCTTTTAAAATAAAATTTTCCATGATGCCCTGTGTACTCACATAGATTCATCCTTAAAGTCCCTCTTGTCACACTTTTCTCAAGGGAGCTGTATCTGAACATGCGTGCACGCGCACTCACTCACTAGTGGTTTGAATTTGAGAGAATTCAAGGGTACCTCTTCCTTTTTCAAATGGTGTCAAGGTAAAATTAAATAAAAAAAATGTTACAAGCTCAGGAAGACCCCCCTCCCCTCGCCCCCGGTTTCTTTGCTGGGAAGCCTCTTCTTTCCTCAGTGACAGTCCCCTGGGCCCCATCACGCCTGTACTCCTCTCCCTGGCCATCTTGGCTCTGCCATCCTCAGACATGTCTCCTCTCTCTTTCTGAGCGGGGTGTGGAGGGCAGTGGCTTGGAGCCAGGCCTGGGTTTGGAGCTGGGCTGAGGCTTGAGCAGATAAGGCGGGGGGAGGGGGGGCGGGGGGCGGGGGGCGGGGGTCGTGGTGGCCAAAGATGCAACAGTAGCCTGTTCCAGCTCCCAGCAGGCTCACTTCTCTCTTTCTTAATCCAATGAAGGGGCACTTGCCTAAATTTGAAAAGGTGCCATAAGATTATTTAATATACAATATCCTGTCCTAAAGCAGTTAAATTCACCCACCAATTTTCTCTTCTAAACCAGTTTCTGTCTAATAGGACTCCTGCGATATTGATCTAGAATCACTAATACCTTACAGCCTCTGAAGAATTATTGTGTCTTTCCTCTCCTCTTTCTTGCCACATGGACAGTGTGTCAAATCTCCTTGTTCCTTCGCCTACTCTTGTTTCTCTCTCTGCTGTCACAACCTTCACATCTCTGCCCTGGCAGAGAGCAGCGTCTCCTCCTGGCTCCTCTGAAAACTCCCCTCAGACAAGGCTCTATCTTCAAACATCTGGATCCGTGCTTACTGTGCAGAAACCAGATCCCCATGTTCTGGAACAGGGTGATGGGGGTGGGGAGTACCGATCCAGCTGCAGTAGCAAGAAGGCTGGAGGGGCCGTGAGCCACAGTGCCCCTAGCGGGGAGGACCCTTGGCCTAGCAGCAAACTGTCCCTTTTGCAATGCGGTGATCACGGTTTCTTGGGTGACCTCATGTCCCTTTTCAAGGCTGCTTTTCGTACCATAAATCATATCCCATTGGTAATCAAAGTAGGGTTGTATAGAACTCTACTGTGATTTCTCCCTGGGTTGTTGCCCACAGCCTCTAAAAACATCAAGAGCCCCGGCCGGTGTGGCTCCGTTTGTTGGAGCATCATCCCATGGACTGAAAGGTTATAGGTTCGATTCCTAGGGAAGGCACATACCTAGGTTGCAGGTTCAGTCTCCGGTTGGGATGTGTGCAAAACTCAACCAATCCATGTTTCTCTCTCTTTCTCCCCTTCCTCTCTCTTTAAAAAACAATGAAAATAGGTCCTCAGGTGAAGATTTTTAAAAGTCAAGGAAACAAGTCTGGGAAAGTACTGAAAATGTTTTCTGAGGTTGGGAATGAGTGGCTGATACCCATTATCACCACTTCTATCCACCACAACAGAGGTCCTGGGACCAGGTGGTCAGCCAGTGCCCTCCAGCAACATCCTTCTCCGCCCAGCGGTGGGCCACTCCCATTAGTCAGCTTCCTGCTCCTCCATCACTGGTGGTTCTGCATGTTCCTAGGGCAGCCATACTGTCTCCAAAGAGGTCTGAATCCCAGTCTTGGCAGGGGGAAAGGGACTCTTTTAAGTTCCCAAGTCCCTTCGCTTATTCACCAACCCTCTGCTCCAGAGGTAGTGCTGTGTTTGGCAGCTACCCCTTTCTTACCCTTAAAATCATCTAACCTTTTAAGTAGGCATCCATCTTTACACTAGTTGTACTAGTTAACAAGCTTTTATAGTAAATTCTCCCTGTTGAAATTACTGGTCTGGTTTCTGTCTCTAACCTGGACCCAGACTGATACAAGACCTAAATAAACGCAGGAATAAATACCATTCATGGATTAGAGGATTCGATATTGCAAAGAAATCATTCTCCTTAAATTGAGCCATCGATTTAAGAAACAGTCTCTCCTAGGTGCTTCTTTTGAGGGTAGCGGGGGACTGGACACATATAAAATGTCCAACAATGCTCGATCGTCACTGCAGTACATTTCTAGAACTCACCTGGAAAATCCTAAATCTGATCTTACCCATGTGATCTGTGTTATAATTGGTTATTACATTCTTGACCAAAAACTAAGCATCAAATAATCACAGATACTAAATATGTCATAGAGACAAACATTCAAATTTTAAATTAGTATTTCTCAACCCTGGTTGAGCATTAGAATTATCAAAGGAGATTTTTAAAAATACCAATGCCTGGACCCCACTGGGGGTCAGTTAAAGTCAAATCTTTATAGGTGAGCCTACGTAAAACGTGGAGGGGCAGCTTTCTCCCAGACAGAAGTACTGTCAGAGGCCATTGTTCCTTTTCTAGACCTTCTCCCCACAGAACCAGCAAGCGGGCACCATATCTAGTCTCCATCACTCTGGCTCACACTCTTTGCACCACTCTGGTGATTCCCTGAGACCCTACCACACCCAACTTTCAGACCCACCCAAGCCATTTCCAGTGGCTTTTCCATTCCGACAGCTCATGCCTCAG